ATCTAATTTTTATGACACAGGTATCTTCACACTTCCTGTATCTTTTGCACGAATATCAGTAACTAGAGTTCAAGATTTGTTTAGAGTTTTTTAATGTAATATTTACATGTAATAAAAGGTACAAATATTAAGTTACATTGACGTGCCTTTTCTTAACCTTCTTGCCCCATCTCTCTACTTTTCTAATTTGTCTACTATACATTAGATTTTCTAGCTATAGAACTTCATCAATGGAATGATCCAGTGTATTTTCTTTAGCCTATTTCTCATGAAAGTTTACACAGAAAATTTGTTTCCCATTTTGCTGGACTGCAAAGTTCAGTTTGATTTGCAAGGTCGGTAATTCAAACTTACTAGCTACTCTTCAGAAACTTTATACAGGGTTGGTTTGGGTTGGAACCGACTCGATGGCACTTAACAACAGCAACAACAATACAAATGGTTTGGTAGCATTAGTTACATTTTTACAATTTGTCAACATTCTCTTTGCTTGTATTCTGGTTGTTCTATTCCCAGTGTTTCAGTTTCTCTGTACCCTTATCTTTTCATCTTTGATTTCGAGTAATTGATGACCTTTTGGACTTATATAATAGGTGGTTTTTTAGTTGAATATGTTCTTGTGGGTAATGTCCTTTGTTTTGTGTGTCAATCTTTTATTTTTCAAAAAAGTAATCTCTGGGGATAGTTTTGGTTCAAGGTTTAAAGATTATCCCAGGGTAATGGTTTTAGGAAATCCTCTAGTCTGTTCTGGTCCAGTAAGCCTGGGATTTTTAAGAATTTCAGTTCTAGGTCATGTTTTTCTCCTGTTCTATGAGGGTCTGTCTATTACGACCATGATCAGAATGGTTGATGATGGCAGTGGGACACCATCGAGTCTTTATGGTCAGTATAATGTTTTTCAGATTCATAAATGTTATCGTGTGCATCAGTACATCTATTTTCATTGCTAAGGTTACTCTATTATATGAGTATATCACAGTTTGTTTATCTATTGTCCCATTGGTGAATACTCACACTGTGTTCTGTGTTTCTGCTATTATGAATAAAGATGTTGTGAACATTTTTCTACAAGTGTTTTTGTGGTCATATACTTTTATTTCTCTAGATGACTACCTCGTCAGGGTTGATGTTTATTTATTTACAGAAGAAATGCCGGACCTTTTTTCCAAAGTGGCTGTACCATTTTATCATCCCGCCAAGTGCATGTTAAGAGCACCACTACTCTATATCCTTACCAATACTTGCAATTATTAGTCTTTTAAAATTTTAGCCATTTTAGTGGATACGCCTATCTTCATTTATACCATTTGTCACTTTGGTTATAAATTCCCCATTTTCACCACCATCATTATAGTTTAAACATTCTTAGGTGTTCTGCCTAACTTAAACTTGTTTATTACAGAATTAGAGAATCCCCCAAGACCATCTTAATTTCTGACACTTTATACAAGTTTGGGAGTTGCCAAATAACTCTCAGGTTCAGTAATTCACTAGGACTCTCAGAACTCACTGATAGTTGTTACATTCATGTTTGTGGTTTATTACAGTGTAAGGATACAGATTAAAATCAGTGATGAGAACAGGTGCAAAAGGTTAGGTACCTTTTGTCTTCTCTTAGTGGAGTTGTATGGACATTGCTTGCTTCTCTCATAAAGATACGTGATAATATGTACAAAGTATTGCCTAGCAGAGAATCCTGCTTGACCCTTGGTGACTAGAGTTTTTATTGGGGCTTAATCATCTATATATAATTCACTTGCCAACATAGTTGACCTTTGTCTCCAGTTCCTACATAAGTTAAATAGATACCATGTAGCCCAAGCCTCCTCTGCCCCCTATAATTCACATTGCCAGGATAGGCTATCTGGCGTGGCCCAAGGTTTTCAGGTAAACAAACACACTTATCAGTCAGGACATTCCAGAGGCTTAGAAGTTACTTCCAGGAGTCAAGAGCAAAGGCCTAAATTCTCTTTGGGCAAGGTTCATTATTTATTATGTACTTACATAAGCTCTCCTTGGTTTTTAAAGTTATATCAAAATGTTTGTGTTAACTGATATAATAGAACCAAGCTCAAGAAACCAAACTGGTTCATATAGATGTAGATTTATATCTTGGTTCTACTTGACTCAGGCGCAAAACTACTGAGCTATTTTATCCAAATTTATGGAGAATCTGAAACCTTATCAAATCCCTCGGTGTGGTGCAAATGGTTAAAGTGCTTGCTAGTTGAAATGTTGAAGGTTGGAATCTGCCCAGAAGTGACTCAGAAGGAAGACCTGAGAATCTATTTTTTAAAAGCAGCCATTGAAAGCCCTATGGAGACTAGTTCTGCTCTGGTATATTGCGGATGCCCTGAGTCAGGACTGATCTTCTTAAAAGAATAGGACTGTTAGAATAAGAACAAATTTATCTCAATATCCAAGCCATTAAAGATATGTGATAGTATTTACAATGATTTGTCTATTTGTCTCTGAATTTTCCTGTTCTAGAAATTTCGTACAAACGGAATCATATAATATATGGTCATTTGTGTCTGACTTCTTTCATTTAGTATAACATTTTCAAGGTTTATCTGGATTGCAACATGTATCAATATTTTCTTTTTATGACTGAATAATATTCCATTATCTGTATTATACCATAGTTTGTTTATTCATTCATCAGTTGATGAACATTTGGGTTATTTCTTCTTTGGGCTATTATGAATATGCTGCTATAAGTATTCATTTACAAGTTTTTGTGTGGACATATGTTTAAATTTAAATTCCTACCTAAGAATTTAACTGTTGGATCATCTAATAACTCTCTTACCTTTTGAATAACTCCCAAAATGTTTTCCAAAGCAGTACGTACCATTTTATATTGCAACTAACAATGTATGAGAGTTCTAATTTCTCTACATCCTTCCCAAAGCATGTTGTTGTTGTTCATCTTTTTAATTACAGCATTATTAACGTTTAATTAAGGTATTTTATGAAAAATTGATATTGAATGTTATCATGCTTTTTTATAGTACTATACAGATTGTCTGATTTTTTTGCTCTGCTCTCAGTATGGTGAGCTATATTACAAATAACAGATTTCTTAATAGCAGTGTAAATAATCAGTATGTTAATTTTGAGTTATCATCCTGATTTGTTTTCTTTAGGACAGGAAATTACTTGGTAGACATGTCACTATTTAATAGAAACTATAAATGCCACTGAGAATATTTAAATTAGCTGACATGATGTTCAGAGTAAAGAGTTCTTTTTTTTTTTTTTTCCTTTCGTACTTGAATATCCTTAATTTAAGATGAATTATATCAAAGCTTAAAAAGATCATGAATAAATACCATAAGTACTTTTTTCTTTTATAAAATATTAAAATTACCACCTCCCCCAAAATATATGCCCATCTTCAGAATTTTGTAATGTTAAAAGTAGGAGCTTATTTATTTTCATTAATATCTGTTGTCTGAGTATTTACACCAGTGTTAAAATGCCTAGGAGGAAAGCTGCAACTATTATTGATCAACAGAGAAAATATTGAAGTTGTCAAGGATTTCATTTTACTTGGATCCCATGGGAACAAATCAAAATTTGATCCACTGTTGTTGAGTTGATTCTGACTCATAGCAATCTTATAAGGACAGAGTAGAACTGCTTCACAGGGCTTCTGAGACTATATAAATCTTTACAGGAGCAGACCGCCTCATCTTTTCTCCCGTGGAGCAACTGTTGGGTTTGAATCAGCAGCTCACCATTTAACCCACTATGTCACCAAGGACCCTTTTTGTGGAAGCAGCAGTCAAGAAATCAAGTGACATACTGCATTGGGAAAATCTATTGCAGAAGTCCTTAAAGTGTTAAAGCACAAGGATGTCACTTTGAGGACTAAGATGAACCTGACCCAACCCAGTGTATCTTCAGTCACTTCATATGCATTCAAAAACTGGACAGTGAATAAAAAAAACTAAAGAAGAATTGATACATTTGAATTAATGGTATTGGTGAAGAATATTAATATGCCATAGGCTGCCAGAAGAATGAACAAATTTGCCTTGGCAGAAAGACAGCCACAATGTTCCTTAGAAATGAGGATTGTGAGACTTTGTCTTATGTACGCTGGTCAGATTCTCTGTCAGGATGGACCGGGACTACACACTGGAGAAGGACATCTGCTGGTAATGTAGAAGGACAGTGAAAAAGAGCAAAACCCTGGATGAAATGGATTGACACAGTAGCTGCAACAATAGTCTCAAACATAGCAATGATTTCCCTAGAAATAGCTCAAGTGTTTTGTACATAGGGTTGCTGTGAGTTGGAACCTGGTGTGGTGCTGTGGACTAATGTGCTGGCCTGCAAGGTCGGTTTGAATGGCAAGGTTGGTGGTTCAAACTCATCAACTGCTCTTTGGAAACCCTATATAGGCTTGCTATGAGTCTGAACCGACTTAATGGCTCTTAACAACAACAGCGGTAAGAAGAAAGGCCTGGTGAATTAGTTCTGAAAATTAGCCAATGAAAATCCTATATGAATTACAACAGAATATTGACTGATGTAGTGCTGCAAGAGAGCCTCCCTTTATCCCCCGGTTGGAAGGTAATCCAAATCAACAAACATGCTAGTGATCATAAAGACGGCACAGAACCAGGCAGCAGTTCATGAGCTGGTACTGACTTGACAGCAACTAACAATAACAGACACTATTTTAAACACTGTATATATATTTTAATTAAGTTTATAGTATCCCTATGTGATGAATGGATACTGTTATTTTCCTCATTTTTACCAAGGAGGAACCGAGTCCCAGGTCATATAAAGTAGAGGTGGGCTTTGAATTAGTCTTGATTATAATGTTTGAGTTCTAAAAAGTATTCCTAGGCTCACAGAGATGAGTAAAATATTGTTTCTTACTTAGCCCAGTTCACCAGGTAGAATTTAAAGATGTGTTAATAAATTGACATGAAATTATTATTATACTTTGTGTAATGAGTATTTTTTGTGTGTATTTTTAGGATGTTCAGTCAGAAGAAGGCTGCTATTGAAAGAGAGTATGCACAGGTAAGCTTGGACATGGAATTCTTTACCCTAGCTAGACCTATTTTCCTCAGTTTATGGGCAGATTAGGGTATCCGCACATTCACCTTTGCTTCTCCTTTCTGGTCATCTCTTTGTCTGCCTCCCTTTTGCTCTATTTGAATAGTTACGTGAGGCACTACGTTGCTCCGTACTGCAAAGACAGTGGAGAGCCTTTTGGAGAAATTACTATTTCTAGTATTTGTAGTGTGCTTACAGATATACTTATTCTGTGTTCAATTCTCTGTATTTTTATGAAAAATTAATTTTTATTTTTGCTTAACCAGGTGTTTATTTCTCACTAGGACTCTTGATAGGGTGGAGTAGAGTTTTCAATGATACAGAGTTATTTCTAGGGAAATTTAAGCATTTCCTGTAGTTATTTTAGTTAGAACCATATTTGCTCTCAAATAGTTATTGTAACAGGAATAAATTATGTTGATATATTATTTTGTGGATGTGTAAGAATCAGTTTTAAACAATTAGAAAAATGTAAGAATTATTAGTAAACAATTTAACATAATAGGGAAATTTTGACTCTTATAAGCAATTGCTTGTGGAATAGTGTTCTAAAATTATTTTTTCTCCCAAGTTATAGAAGGGTAAGTAAAAAGTATTGCTGTAAAATTATAGAAGCCTTTAGTCAGTAAAATGTGAAGCTATGATGTTTGACGCATCCTCCAGCTAGGTCTGTACACACCTGAAGGTGGTGTTTCCTTTGTCTCTGTAACCCTTCTCCCAGGCTTAGAGAATGTCCTGGTGTGGTGCTGTAGGATAAGCACTGACCTGTAACTGCAAGGCCAGCCATTTAAACCCACTAATCGCTCCTCAGAAACACCGTACAGGGTCACTAAGAATTAGAATGGACACGATGGCACTTAACAGTCACCACCGCTGTTCTGCAAAGAATTATACATTCTTTGATTTATATCACATTAAATGGCATCTTGGGCATCCTTGAGGGACTCAAATTTTGTTTCTTTTACATGTTCTTTGAGTTTTGGAAATAAGAAGAAGTGTGAAAAGGCAAGATCAGGTTTGCAGGGTAGATGGGGTGAGGTTTCTAATTAAATTTTCGTAAGACAGCCCTTGCTCCTCTCAAAGAATGAGCAGTACATTGTGGTGATGGAAAAAACTTCTCCCTGTAACTTTGCTGGCCTTTTTTCACCAATGCAGTTTTCATTTGTATAAACATTTTCTAAATAAGTCCCTATCATAATGCTGTGTCCTTTGAGAAAAATCTACCAAGATTACCCCTTGGGAATTCAAAAAAACAGTCACCATGATCTTCTGAACTGATCTCACTGCCTTGGATTTAACTGGTCCAGAAAGTTTCCCTGAAAGTCACTGTTTTAATTGAACCATTTTTTTGAAGGCACATGTTGAGACTAAGACAATTGTTACACTGAGAGAATTTGTCTGCAGCCATCCAGTGATTGCAGAGATATGTTTAAACATGTTTTGTGTGTAATAAACCCATGCATGTGTGAGCTGGAACCCTAGTGGAAATACTTTTTGACTTGCCCTTATATAAGTAGTATTTGTAGCAAAAATTTAAAATACCACAAAGCATAAGAAGGAAAATACATATGACAGCTAAAGAAAGTTCTACATGTTAACCTCTATTGCTTCTGCTGTTGCTGTTCTTATAATTTAAGAGATTGGCGTATAATTGTCTTATTTTGTGCTTTGTCAGATTTTGGATTTAGTGTTATTCTAGTTTCATTACAGTTAGGTAGTTTTCTATTTTATTGGTAGTTTTAGAAGGAGATTATTTCTTGGAAGGTATCTAGAACTCAGAGGGATTCATTAAATTAGTAAATAGTTTTTGAGTGCCTATTATGTATCAGGTACTTTATGTAACGGACAGCATCATGTTTAATATTTGTGTTTAACCTTTTCTCTACATATGTAATAAATATTGGTAATGATAATTTTAATGATAGCTAACTAACATTTACTGAATCTTTATATTGGAGCAGGTATTTTGTAAGAATTTTACATTCTGGTTTGTTCTTCTTGTTGCTAAGTGCTGTTGAGTCAGTTCCAACACAAGCAACCCTGTATAAGGTTTCTGAGCAGTAGCTGGGGTGGGTTTGAACTGCTGACCTTGTGGTTTGCAGTCTAGTGCTGATCCGATAGCACCACACCAGTCCTGTCAATAACCCTGTAAAGTAGGGACAGTTATTATGTCCTTTATGGATCTGTTTCTGTACTTGTAACTATGTAACATACATATTATTATAATTGGTATTTAGTCATTAATTTGCCTTTAAAAATTAAAAGAATGTTCCTATAAGATGACATAAAATTTTAATTATCAAACATGTTCATGATAAAAATACAAACATCAAATAAGTATAGAATATGCTCATGATAAAATTAAAAATTAAAATGTCATAGTACATTATTATTGTTAAGTATGTTAAAGTGTATGAATTTATGTGAAAGGTGGCCTCCTGGTGTGGCACTGTAGGGTAAACACCAGATTGCTAACCACAGAGCTGGCAGTTAAAACCCACCAGCAGGATTGCTATGAGTTAGAACCAACTCTACGGCATTTAATAACAAAAACAACATGTGAATGGTAGCAGTCCTCTGGCCCAATTCCAGTCTGTTTCCTCAGAGAAAATATTAAAAGCAGATACCTATATTGATTCGCCTGGTGATTATTTCTGTATCTTTAAATAATGTGCTTACAATTGAGTCTTGATTTATAAACTCTAGACATTATTGCTCAGTTACTGTTTATAGCAGTGAGAAATCACTACTCCATTCCTTACCAACCAGATCTTTCCAATATGATTGTGTCACTGTTTTAGTGCCTTTGTTACTTTTATAACTAGTAATTTATTTAAACTGTACCTTTTTATTCAAATGCATGTGTATACAGGTAGTCCCCAAATTGCATTACATTCAGGTTAGGATAAGCCTCACTAACAACTGTCATTTTTTTCCTTTTTTTTTGGTATGCATCTTATCACTAGTAATATGTGCCTAGGTAGTGTTGCAGATTGTAAAAGGACCATAAGACAACTCTCACTTGTTTTCTAACTAGAAATGCCATCCCATACCCAGGGATAATCCAAATGATCCAGATCCACAAATGAAACTGTTTCTGTAACTGGCAAAATGACAGTACTATCCATTATTTTATGGATGGATGTATTTCTTAGTGAATGTATGTACTAAAATAAATCTAACCCCCAAGATGAATAAAGATTGGGTTTATAAAGATACTGATAATAAAAGGCAGTAATAATAAAAACTATACACATGGAGCTCTGGTAGCGTAGTGGTTACGAATCGGGCTGCGAACCTTAAGGTCAGCGGTTCGAAACTACCAGCCACTCCGCCGGAGAAAGATGAGGCTTTCTACTCCCGTAAAGATTTACACCCTCGGAAACCCTGTACAGGGCCACTATGGGTCGGACCCGACTCGATGGCACTTAACAACAACAATACAAATGAGGTATTTGACTTACGTAAAAACTGACTTACAGCAGCAATCAGAATGGAACCTTATTGTAAACTGAGGAGTACCTGTATGTTAACGAGCTCTGGTAGCATAGTGGTTACGAATTGGGCTGCTAATCTCACGGTTAGTAGTACAAAACTACCAGCTGATCTGTAGGAGAAAGATGAGGCTTTCTTCTCCTGTAAAGATTTACAGCCTCGGAAACCCTGTAGAGGATCGCCATGAGTCAGAACCGACTGCACGGCATATAACAACACCACCTGTGTGTTGGAGCCCTGGTGTGGCGCTGTGAATTAATGCTCTGGACAGCAAACTTGGTTTGAACCACAAGATTGGTGGTTTAAGCTCACCAACTGCTCTTTGGAAACCCTATGCAAGGGTGGCTATGAGTTGGAACTGATTTGACGGCACTTAGCAACAACAGCCTGTATTTTATATATATGTTTTGTTGTTGTGTGCCAGGGGACTGGTTTTAACTCATAGTGATCCCATGTGATAGAGAACTGCCTCAGAAGGTTTTCTTGGCTGTCATATTTACTGGAGTAGTTGACAGGTTTTTCTCTTGTAGAACCTCTGGGTGAGTTTGAACTGTCAGCCTTTGGGCTAGCAGCTAAGACCTTAGCTGTTAGGCCACTAGGACTCCTTTGTACGTGTATGAAACCTATTGCCATCAAGTTGATTCCGATTTACAGTAATCTTCTAGGACAGGGTTGAACTGCCTTCTAGGGTTTCCAAAGCTGTAGTCTTTATGGAAGCAGGCAGCCACATCTTTCTCCCAGAGTGGCTGGTGCGTTTGAATAACTGACCTTTCAATTAGCAGCTGAGCAATTAACCACTGTGCCCCCAGGACTCCTTATATGAGGGGGCTTCATATAACTCTTTTACCATGAAGATTTTAAGGCCCCCCATCATAAATTTCATAATCATATTTAGAAATATAAATGTTTCAGTGTCTCTCTGTTTGGGATAAAATGAGCCTGTTTGTTGACTTTTCTTGTTACTTGTCATTATATTTGCCTTTTAAGTGATTTTTCTCAATTCTTGCTCTTTAATGTTTCCTAATTAATTTTTACTTTATTTTCTGAGTATGCAGACAACATTATCTCTACCCTCTTGTTTGATTGCCTGAACAGTGCTTTAATTCTTGTTAAAGCAGTGAATTCCTTAAAATGATTACCACATGTTTTCTATAGATTTTGCCAATGTGCTCTGATGATTTCATGTTCATTTGCATTTCCCTTCTGAGGACCTATCTATTGAGTGGATAGCACGTGGTCCGAGAGAACAGCTATCTTATTTAAATTATTTCTTGCTCTTTCCTTCTTTGACTCAGTGTAGAATAAAAATTTGAGGTGATAGATTTTATTATTTACTGTGATGAAAACATAAAAAAATACCAACTTAATTTCTACATGTACAGTTCAGTGACATTGATTACGTTCTTCAAGTTTCGCAACCATTCTTGCTGTGCTTTTCCAAATCATTCCACTATTAATGTAAATTCAGT